AGGAAAATTCGACTTTTTGTAAAAAAAGGAAAATTCAATTTTTTTTAAAAAGAGGAAAATTCGATTTTTAAAAAAAAGGAAAATTCGATTTTTTTTTAAAAAGAGGAAACTTCGATTTTAATAAAAAAAGGAAAATTCGATTTTAAAAAAAGAGAGGAAAATTCGATTTTAAAAAAAAAAGAGGAAAATTCGATTTTAAGGTCATTATTGCCATTTAGAAAATATTTAACCTAATGAGACAATAAGTTAATGAATTTAAGCTAAATGGACAATGTCCAAACCTATTTGGCTTAAAAAAACTATTTTCTCTTTGCTTTTTCTGCATTTAATATAAGAAAGCCAGTTACAAAAAACAAAAAAAACAAAAAAATAATAATAAAATATATGATCATGTTCTAATAGTATAGATTATATTTTTTAATTAAAAAGCTATTGTGGGTAAGAAAATGAAAAAAAAATGATAGAAATATATGTGCTGGATGGTGTGTAAATAGAGAGAGATGGCAACGTGTCACGGAAAGTAAAAGAAAAAGAAAGTAATTAAACGTCACTTTAGTTTTAGTGTAGAGAGACTCATCAGCGTCGGTTCGAATCAGTTGAACCAATCTTGAAACTTTACAAATCTACTAATACTAATACTAAGTAGAAGGCCGCTTCGCTTCCGAAATCACCAGTTGGAGTTTCTTCTCCGATGATGAGACCATCGAGAGACGCCATTCAGTCTTACATGAGCATCACCGGCGCTGATGAGTCACTCGCCATTCAGAGCCTCGAGGTTCCTCCTTTTCTTTCTTTTCTTTGCCAACACTGATTTTGTAGATTTGGAATTGTAATTGGAATCTGGAGAGTTTAGGTTTCTTTGACTATCAGTGTAGTAGATCCACTAATCATCGCTAGTTGTAAACAGGAACATGGGAATAACCTCACTGAAGCCATCAATGCTCACTTCAGGGATGTGGAAAGAAGCATGTCTGTTTTTTCTTCCTTTGATTTAAATGTTCCTTCTTCTTCTTCATTGTATAAACGTCTTCCTCTTCTTGATTTTGTTATTCTTACAGTCTTGATCCAACCTCAGACACTCGTCCACAATACAACAATGCCGTGGAAGATAATAATATTAATAATAATAGTCATGTTCGTGTTGGTGGTAACGACTCTAGGCCAGTTCCAGGCGGACTTCCATCTCTCCTCTCTGCTGCTCGGTCTTTTAGACCCTCTTTGCTTCTAGATCCCAACTACAGGAGAAGTCTCCTTAGGCAGCTCAGTGGCTCTGGAAGTCCTCCACCTCCATCATCTCACACGGGAGAAGTCACTGGCTTCCCTGCTAACTCTACCTGGGGCACTACTAATGATCACGGAGGAGACGTTTATGCTAGACTTTCACCTAGCTACGGATCTCCTCAAGTCTATGGTGGTCCACCAACACATAGGAATGCTGAATCATCACCTGTCTATGGCAACGATGCTGAGGAAGAAATGATCAGAGCTGCCATTGAGGCTTCAAAAAAGGATTTTCAAGAGGAGGGTCGTCGTCACAATGTAAATAGTATTATATATAGCTGAATTGAATGAGCCTCGCATTTTTTATTTTATTTTTGTGGTTTGATGCAGGTTCCGTCTAGCGTTTTATATTCGAGAGAGGCTATTAACAAGGAAGACGAAGACATTGCCCGTGCTATTTCTATGTCAATAGAGGTATGGTATGGATAGATATTTGCATATGCTGTGTCCCTGCTCATGTCTCACATTAGCAACAATGATGACTTTTCAGATGGAAGAGCAAGAGAGTGTAATGCGAGAGCAACTAGCTGAACTTATGCCTCACCCTGTGGAGCAATCTAATACATATGAAAGTAACAGATATAAGGTGTGACACTGATTCATGAAAGCTATGGAATAATATGTATGCATGCCCGTTGGTTTAGTGGTTTTGTGATGCTTTCCTTTACAGTTTTCACCAATTTATTTGAGTGGCGGCCATGTTACATACTAAGTTTCTTTTTTTTTGATGTGATGTGTTGAAACTCTTTAGTCTATCTGGCTAATTAAAACATGTGTAATTTTAGCCCGGAAGCTCTACATTACAAGACAAGCGTGAAGACAGGAAACAAAAGCAGCCAATTGATACTAGCTCTCAGCACGGACATGATCTACAGAATGTTGAAGCTGCTTATCCTGAAGAGGTAATTATTCAAAAACTGTGATTTCTCCTACCACTAAAAGTAGCAAATCAAGAACAAATTAGGATGGTTTAGTGACTAGCTCTACTACCCTGTTTTCACCTCCTGTTGCTCGACTTGTACTAGTGGGGTGGCATTCCGTCAAAAGAGCTACAAGAGGCAATAATGCTGGAAAAGGCACTCTTTAGTGGAGTAGCTAGAGAAAATACTTCACATACTAATCAGCCTGGAACTCACAGGGAGTCACAGTCTGCTGATAAGAGGGCCGTTGAAGAGGTAATCTACTTATCTTGAGAGGCATTCATTAGTTGGAAGGTGAACGTTTACATGAACATAAGTATGAACAACTTGTTGCCATAAATCCGTAGATAGAAAACTGAGCCTGTGAAAGGGCTTGGAATCAGAGTAAACACTAAAGATTTTGAGGCAACAAACGAATTTTATAGGCTAAGTTTATATATGATCATAGTGAATCTTAAAGCAAAATGGCTCTGAAATGGTGGTTTAACATTGATTTCATGACTACAGATCCATCTCATAGGCATCTTTTTGTAATGCATGTCCAGTGAAAGCTGATATTCCTTTGGTTATTTCACAACTGTTCTGGATACCTCACTTGTTGCAGGAACCTGAGAGATCTTCCATTACGGAGAAGGCAGCGCCTCCCATAGAGCCATCAGTAGAAAATGAAGATGCTATCACTCTACTCGTTAGAATGCCAGATAGCAGCCGTCATGGTCGTCGCTTTCTCAAATCAGACAAGCTTAAGGTTGACGTTCGCTAGTGTCTAGTGAATCATTAGTGTGAATAACATTTTTTCGTATTCTAAGCACTTCATTAACACTTGTTTTGTTGAATTGCAGTACCTTTTTGACTTCATAGATGCTGCTGGATTAGTCAAACCAGGCACATATAGAGTGGTAAGCCTAGTGATGAGCGATACTCTCTTGTATTGTCACACTTCTAAGATTCGTTTATATATATATTTTCTGCTGCTACAAACCTTTTATAAGTGTGGTATGAATATTTAAACAGATAAGATCATATCCTCGCCGTGCATTCAGCCTTCAAGACGGTGCCTTAACTTTCGAGGAACTGAGTCTGACCAACAAACAAGAAGCGTTGTTTCTGGAACTACTGATATAGTAGAGTAGCATATGTAACCTGAGATGATGAATGATGGTTAGCAAAAACTAGTTGAGTTCAATGTACTTTCGTAGCTATAGATCCAACGCATGCTCTGTTGTAAACTCCCTCTCGTTGATTTGCTAGTGTTAGTCTCCAGTGTGAAACAAGCATATATGAAAATATTTTTAAGGCCTAATCTATTATCTTAAGGCCCAGTTATAATAATATTTAAGGGTCATGTTCAAAAGTATAATCAACGACCAAAGAAAATTAAACATTATTTTAATCAGTGGCGTGCGTATCCACCGTGCTCCGCCTGACTCCAGTGGGTACTAAAACACTGAGAAAAAATTTGCGAAATATATAAATAAAATATTTAAATCACCGACAAATCTGAGATCTCTAATTATAAGATATTTGCATCTGATCTGGTGTCCATAGATTCGAAGCTGAAGCAATGGGGCTACCTGCTTCGAAGCGTAACAACCAGCGTCAATGGAGCCTCCTCGACATCGTAACCGCCGCCTTCTTCGGCATCGTCCTCCTCTTCTTCATCCTTCTCTTCACTCCTCTCGGCGATTCCATGGCCGCCTCCGGTCGCCAGACGCTGCTCCTCTCCACCGCTTCAGATCCGAGGCAACGCCAGCGGCTGGTGACTCTGGTTGAGTCAGGCCACCATCTGCAGCCGATCGAGTACTGTCCCGCGGAAGCTGTGGCTCACATGCCTTGCGAGGATCCGAGGAGGAACAGCCAGCTTAGTCGAGAGATGAATTTCTATAGGGAGAGACATTGTCCCTTGCCTGAGGAGACTCCTCTCTGTTTGATTCCTCCGCCTAACGGATACAGAATCTCAGTTCCCTGGCCCGAGAGCCTACACAAGGTATTTGATTCAATCTGAGAACTTAGGGTTATGTATTCAATCTAAGATTTGAGACGATTGTGACTGCTTTAAATTTTTAATAAGTTTTTTAGGTGAATTAGGTCATTTATTATGATTTTAGCATGAATTTTAGCTTTTAGGTGAATTTATTATGATTTTATTTGCCTACGAATGAATTTAGGGTTATGTATTATCCAATCTAATATTTGAGACTGGTTTTATTTTTAATAATTTTTTAGGTGAATTTATTATGATCTTAGATACATTTTCTATGATTTTTAAAGAGTTTTTTTTTTTTAAGTTTATGTTTTAATAACAACGAATGATTTGTCATTTTCAAATTCTATATTGAATGCATCCCTGAGGGGTTGATGCTTTCTGGTTTTGCATGGCTCTTAGACTGTGTTAAAGGTTGTGTGTGTTTAAACTTTGTAGATCTGGCATGCAAACATGCCTTACAACAAGATTGCTGACAGGAAGGGTCACCAAGGATGGATGAAAAGGGAAGGTGAATACTTCACTTTCCCTGGTGGTGGCACCATGTTTCCTGGTGGAGCTGGTCAGTACATTGAAAAGCTTTCTCAGTATATTCCTCTTAGCGGGGGAACTCTAAGAACTGCCCTTGACATGGGATGCGGGGTAAGAAATAAGCATCATTATTATCTTTGTTTTTTTTTGTAATTCACGTTTTGCTCTGTATTGTTACAATACGATTGTAAACCCTTTGCAGGTCGCAAGTTTTGGAGGTACTCTACTATCTCAAGGCATTCTAGCTCTCTCGTTTGCTCCAAGAGATTCACATAAATCACAGATTCAATTCGCCTTGGAAAGAGGAGTCCCAGCGTTTGTTGCCATGCTTGGCACTCGAAGACTCCCCTTTCCTGCATTTTCCTTTGACTTGATGCATTGTTCCCGATGCCTGATTCCTTTTACGGCTTACAGTAAGTCTCTTTGTTGATAAAACTCTACAATTTGTTGGCAGCAATTATTCTTATTGTGCTTGGTGATTTATATGCAGATGCAACTTACTTCATCGAAGTAGATAGGTTACTACGCCCTGGAGGATATCTTGTGATCTCTGGCCCACCTGTTCAATGGCCTAAACAAGACAAAGAATGGGCTGATCTTCAGGCGGTGGCTCGAGCTTTGTGCTATGAGCTAATTGCTGTCGATGGAAACACTGTCATCTGGAAGAAGCCTGTTGGAGATTCATGTCTTCCCAGCCAGAACGAATTTGGGCTGGAGTTGTGCGATGAGTCTGAGCCTCCCAGTGATGCATGGTGAGTTTCCTCGGAAATAGTACCCATATGACCTCTGTTGTATATAGAAAGCAAAAGTGAAGTCTGTTTTTTCCTCCTTGTTTCAGGTATTATAAATTAAAGAAGTGTGTTACTAGACCATCATCCGTCAAAGGAGATAATGCTTTGGGAACTATTTCCAAGTGGCCGGAAAAGCTTACTAAAGTTCCTGCTAGGGCCATTGCCATGAAAAACGGGTTGGATGTGTTTGAAGCAGATGCAAGGAGGTGGGCAAGACGAGTCGCTTATTACAGGGATTCCCTGAACTTGGAGCTGAAATCTCCAGCTGTCCGCAATATCATGGACATGAACGCATTCTTTGGAGGATTTGCTGCAGCCCTTGCATCTGATCCTGTGTGGGTTATGAATGTCATCCCAGCTCGGAAACCATTAACTCTCGACGTGATCTATGACAGAGGTCTCATCGGTGTTTACCATGATTGGTTAGTCAGTTTTTTTGTCTATATTATGTTATCAAAGCAAAGACTTGAGATACATGCTATTTCTCTTGTTTCATATACTAGCCGTTGCCAGCATCAAAGATCAAACTTTTATATTGGTTCTTGCAGGTGTGAACCCTTTTCAACATATCCACGTACGTATGATTTCATCCATGTATCAGGAATTGAATCACTGATAAAACGACCAGAGTCAAGCAAATCGAGGTATAACTAAAGGTTAAACCATTCTCGGTTACTAAGAATAGGAACCTTTCTTATCCATTTTACCTAAACTGAATTCTCTAATATGCATACAGGTGTAGCCTAGTAGATCTGATGGTAGAGATGGACAGAATATTGCGCCCAGAAGGAAAGGTTTTGATCAGAGACTCTCCAGAGGTGCTAGACAAAGTAGCAAGAATGGCTCATGCTGTAAGATGGTCTTCTTCCATACATGACAAAGAACCTGAATCCCATGGAAGAGAGAAGATTCTTGTTGCAACCAAACCTCTCTGGAAAATGCCATCAAACTCCCACTAAAGACACGCAATAAGAAACCAAAAAAAAAAAGGAAAGAGAGGAAGAAGGTTTAACCAGCCTTGTAGGTAACAGTCACTTTCTCTCCAGCCCCCATATGTCTGTCCTTAAAACATCATCCTGACGATATACTTTTTTGTGTGTCTTCGTGACATTGCTTCCAAAATGTATCGCAATCGTATAATGTTAATTCTTGATCACACGTGGTTCTGTCAATGATTTCATATGCGGGGTCTACATTGTGGCCTACATGAGTAAAGTATGCATGTGACTCTGCATACACAGTAGTATTTTGTACTCGATACCATGTATTAGGTGCACGTCCGGAATACTTATTTATGTATTAAAAAATCAAATTACTGACAGTTCCTATGATCCAATGTTAGCAAATAACAATTGCTGTAGTTTGATTGATTTTTGGTGAGAAACAAAATACACAATAGTAGAAGACTTCTCTTTTTCAGTACTTTGGCTTCAGGTGTGGAGACATTTTGGTAAAGAAAGTGTGAGAGAAAAAAGGTGAGGACCATTAATGCAATAATGGGATTGGCTGATGCAGTCCTCTTCTGAACCATATTTTGTTGCTCTCAATAAATGATCTTTGGTGCTGTAAATAAGAGCTGATCATTTTTCTGTTTGAACGTTACATCGGCTGCACTCTAGAGGATTCAATTAGATTTGACTCTTGTGGCTATATATTATGGAATTGTCTTAGTAGAAAAGTCTGGTCTTTTGATATCTAAAAGGTGAATGTCATTGATTCTAAAGGGGTCTTCTGCCTTGTTTCTATGGTCAATAATGTCTATATGACATCCCGCATATGTTGTTACGTTAGCAACAATACGTTGGTCGCAATGTGACTTACAGTTTCATGTCTTATCTGTAAGATAGTTAGGGCTAATCATTTTTTTGGGTTTAAAAGAAACATCAATGGATTGTAAGAAAATGGAAGAAAGAAAGTCTTAGGCACATACCTGAAATGATAGATAGGAGAAGTCGTTGTGTGTTGTGTTGGGTGCTTAGTGGTCGGTTATTCTTTGGGAACCGACATTCCCATGTGATCCAAACCGAACCAAACCAAACCCAATATGATCCACCACTTTGGCCGTCCTTTAAATTAGTTCTCACGTTTATTTGTTTTTCAATTTATACTTTTTCTTAGGTTGATGATCTTTTGGTTCAATTAATTTTGCCTTTTGTGTAAACAATAAACCCTGATGTATCATGAAAACATTAGTCTTAGTGCGCGTATGTTGTATACTTGTATACCAAACATAATTCTGCATAATCTACACCAAGAAGATTAATCATGAAGTTTGGGTTTTCGAATTCTAGAATTGATGATTAATGGATAATTACAAATTAATGAAAAAATAAATAAGATCCAAGTGAAACTGTGAATCTTCGATAGCGGTCTAAAAGTGATGTAATTAAAGTAGTCAGAGATAAATTCCCTTAAAATATGTATAATTGTCAGTTATACAATTTCCTATTTTATATTTTTATAAGTAATACTATATTAATAAATTATTGTTAGTATGATTTTATATACATTTTACTGTAGCTAAGCGAGTTGATTGATTAGCCAAAGTTGAACATATTTTAATAAATATGTAAAATATATCATCAAAATAAGGATTAGTTAATAAATATCCATATTTTACACATTTGGCATACTTTACAACTTGGATTTTTTCATAAAACATGTAAAATATAAAAAAAGTAGGTAAGAACATAAAATTAATGCGACTTCTCCTATGCAAATAGCAAAAGGAAGTACGGTTAGTCGTGCTAAGTTTTCTCCATCATCAAATCTAATAATTGCTGTACTTAATTAAACTTTCCAAATTATCCTACCATCTAGGGTATACAAATTTGCCCAATAATGGAGCTTAGCAAGACTAATTATGGAATGTCTATTTGGTTGACACAAGCTCACTTCTTCATGTCGTTACTTGAGAATAGATTCTTTCACAACTCAAAGATTCTATAAGCCTATTTGATTATGTTCTAGTAGTAATATATATCAAAGTATCATCATAAGATAAAAGGGCATGTCGACAATTGAATAATACCGCATATATGGATTCATGAAAATATGTGGGGTTGCTAGACAAAAGTCTCTAAAATTAAAGTCGTTTATATTTTCCGCGAATAAGAAAAGAGAGCGAGTACAGAGAAAGCGCGTGAGCGAGAAAATGTTAAAAGTAGGAAAAAGTCAACCGAGTTCTTCTGGTAAAAGAGTCTCGTGCATTTTCGTAAGGTTTTCAAGAGTCCACATATCTCATTCTAACGTTTTTCTCACTTATTCCCATCAGTTAATACCTTTAACAACATTATTTTCCTTTAATTTCTAGTTTCATTTATAGGCATAATCTAAAAATAATATGTTTAATTCGAGTAAGAGCGCTCAATCAGTGGTTTGGCTTTGATTTAATTTCGAACATATTCTGTTTAAAATGGTAATACTTACAAAAGTGACTTTATTATCTAGTATATTGTCCAAATTTTGTTTGTTTCTCTAATATATTGTCTAAGAAAAAGGTAAATACTCAAAGTAGATTTGAAACCATATATATAACATACTCAAATTTGATACAGTGCTTGTTCAAGATTTTTGTTTAATTGGAATCTATAACTAATTTGAAAAGATTTGTAAATAAATAAATAAAATGTGATTAAGATTTAGAATTTTCCAATTTTTATTATATAAAAAAGAAATGAGTTCAGTTCCAAGACCAGTTTGGTGGGTCTTTTGGATATGAATTGGATTTAATAGATTCACTTTATTAAAAACAGAACACTTTAACTAAATATGTCAAAATGCATTTAAAATATAAAAAAGAAAGAAATATAAGAAGAAAACAAATCTAACAAAATATATAAATAAAAAAATACAGAAAGGGGAAAAAGAGAGTCAATATATCAACATGCAAGAGTGAAGAGAGAGAGAGAGAGAGCCTCTTCTTCTATTCTCAAGAGCTACCACAACACTAGGGTTTCCCATCTTTCATCTTCCCCCCCATCACTCTCTGAAACCAAACCATTAATTCTAAGAGAGAGAGAGAGACTGAGAACGAAGAGCCAAGGAGAGAGAGAAATCAAGAAAAATTCCAGCTTTCGTTCTCCTTCTCTCTCCTCATTTCAGTAATAAAAACTCCATTAATGTTCTGGGTTTCTTCTTCTTCATCCTCTTTTGTTTTCCTGTGATCGATCTCTATTCATACACCTTTTTCCGTGAAAAGTCTCTTCCTTTTATTCTCTGTTATCTGTTTTTGATGAACTTCGGTAGTCTCTTTGACAATACGACCGGTGGTTCTCCCACCGGAGCTGGAATCCTCTCCGGTCTAACATATGGCAACCACACCACCGCATCCACCGTAATACCCGGCGGTGCTATGGCTCAAGCGGCGAGCCTCTTCTCTCCTCCTATCAATACCACTAAGACCGTTTACTCGTCTGCAGGCCTATCTCTAGCTCTCGTACGACGTCGTATCCTCGCTACTAATATGTATATATAGAGAACAAAAAAAACCTAATTTTTTTTATCTCAGGAGCAACCGGAGAGAGGAGTAACAAACCGTGGAGAAGCATCGATGAGGAACAACAACGATATTTTCGATGGGAGTGGGACGAATAATAACAGGAGAAGCCGTGAAGAGGAGCATGAGAGCAGATCTGGTAGTGATAACATCGAAGGTATCTCCGGTGAAGATCAAGACGCCGACGATAAACCTCCTCGGAAAAAACGTTACCACCGACACACTCCTCAACAAATCCAAGAACTCGAATCGTAAAAATCTCCCTCTCTCTCTCCGATCCAACTTCATGGCTCTTTAATTCGATCTGTTGTTTTTGATTAATTAATTGAGTTTGTTTGTTACAGCATGTTCAAAGAGTGTCCACATCCCGACGAGAAGCAACGACTTGACCTAAGTAAAAGACTTTGCTTGGAAACCAGACAAGTCAAGTTCTGGTTCCAGAATCGTCGCACTCAAATGAAGGTTTTCATTATTCTCCAAATGTTTTTATATTTGTAATAAAATCTTTGTTAAATATCAAATCATTCACACAGACTCAACTAGAGAGGCACGAGAACGCGTTGTTGAGACAAGAGAACGATAAGCTAAGAGCTGAGAACATGTCCATTCGCGAAGCAATGAGGAATCCAATCTGCAACAACTGTGGTGGACCCGCCATGCTCGGCGACGTCTCTCTCGAAGAACATCACCTCCGTATCGAAAACGCTCGCTTAAAAGACGAGCTAGATCGCGTCTGTAACCTCACCGGTAAATTCCTCGGCCACCACAGCTCTTCTCTAGAGCTAGCTGTCGGCAACAACAATGTCGGAAACTTCAACTTCCCTCCTGATTTCGGCGGTGGCGGTTGCTTACCACCTCCTCCGCCGCAGCAGCAGCATCAGACGACGATGGTTAATGGGATTGATCAGAGGTCCGTTTTGTTGGAGCTGGCTTTAACAGCTATGGATGAGTTAGTGAAGCTCGCTCAGAGTGATGAACCTTTATGGGTTAAAAGCTTAGACGGAGAGAGAGATGAGCTTAACCATGAGGAGTACATGAGAACGTTCTCGTCAAATAAACAAACAGGTTTAGTTACTGAAGCTTCTAGAACGTCCGGTATGGTCATCGTCAATAGTTTAGCTCTCGTTGAGACTTTAATGGACTCCGTAAGTTATAATTACTAGTTCCTTTTTAAATTTTTTTTTTTATCTCTAGTGAATAATGATTATTAATTTGTTTTTACAGAATCGGTGGACGGAGATGTTTCCGTGTAACGTAGCAAGAGCCACAACCACCGACGTTATCTCCGGTGGAATGGCCGGGACGAGAAACGGTGCACTTCAACTGGTAATAACATAACTCTCTCAAAATTACATTCCGGTTTAGTCACGGTTTAACATTTTCGAATGTTTACTAAAGATGAATGCGGAGCTACAAGTATTGACACCGTTGGTTCCGGTTCGCAACGTGAATTTTCTCCGGTTCTGCAAACAGCACGCGGAAGGCGTGTGGGCAGTGGTGGACGTTTCTATTGATACCGTCCGGGAGAACTCCGTTGGATCTGCGAGCATAGTCCGGCGATTACCATCAGGCTGCGTGGTGCAGGATATGTCCAATGGATACTCAAAGGTACTTATCTTTTTAAAAACTCAAAGCGTTACATAAACATAATAATGATAATTTAATCACATGAGAGCACATTTGGAATCTTTTTCTAGGAAATGCTTAATTATTGGGTTTTGGAAAGAAAAAAAATTAGATGAAAATGAAGAAAAAGTTAGGATCTCTAGGTTTTAAATTGGGTGATCACTAGACGAAGAAGAAGCTCATGCATCAATGAGTCTTGTTTTTTAGCCATTACTCGCTGCACCCACTTC